ATCTATTAAGTGCCAAGAAAACTTAGACTTCCAAATTTCATGATATAGTTGTAACATCTAACCCATGGTATAAGTTCAATGTTCTTTTGCTATTTTCAGTCATTATTGTAGGACAACAAAGAAGTCAGATATTATCTTTTAAAGAACCGAACATAAATCTGATGAAGTTTTTCTGGTCAGCGGGAGTACAATTGGAAAGCAAAATATTTTTGGATTAAAGCTAAAAGGCACAAGTTTATGTTTGCATAAAACTGGGCAAAGAAATTCTGGAATAAAAAAAAAATCCTTCCTTTCAAAATTTTTTTTACAAATTGACATTAATTAAATATTTCTTATTGATACAAAATAAAACAGAAAGTGCCTAACTTGCTATTAAAATTACTGAGAATTTAAGACAGGAAAGGAAGCCAATTAGACATGCATGCTTGTGTAATGTTTAGGACCTAACTAATAAGGTAGTATGCAGTAGGATTAGAATTAGCCCTCTCTGCCATACACCAACCTCTAAGTATCTTTTTTCTTTTCCTTCTTCAAAACAGAAAATGATAATTGATAGCTGTGCCAATCAACCTATGGAACAGCAAGAATTTGTAATCCACAGTTTTACAGTTAATTGGGTATAACAAAAATATGAAATGATTAATTACAAAGTTATTGCAATTTAGGAGCCAAATCTATGTGTATATATGCCTCACAAATGTTCACAGAATTTGAAAGAAGCTAAATTACTCAAAAATGCTCCATGTGCATTTTTGTTATCTCCCTATAATCTGTTTTCATGGGCTTCCGACCCCTACTAGGAAGCAGAGCTGAGCAACCAAATGCCTACCAGCTCACTAAGTGGTAGGGGTCCAGTTCATAACCTTGGGAGCACATATTAGACACATTCCATTCTCTATTGTATCCTGGGCCAAGTGGCATTCACTTATTACTAAACAGTGAACTCAGACTGCTTCACAATGTTCCAGTCCTGCCAAAATGACCACAATCTGAAAGTAGCCAGGGGAGTAATCCTAGAACATCAGTCAAAGAACACAGCTGCATGGCAGGTCAGTGGGCCTGACCTAATAAACCTGATTTCTTTTTAAGTAGATGTTTAGCTACTGTTTTATATGCAAGGGTCACATTGTTTCTTAACAATTCAATGCTTGCTGCTCCTTACTAGATAGAGAGTAATATGGATCTTCAAAACTAAACTAAATATCTGATGTTATATATATATGCAGATTAAAATATCTGATCAG